CCCGCCCCGGGGTCCCACAGCCCTTCACGGCCCCTGGCACAGCTGTTCTTTGCGCTGGAGGTGCTGTGGAGGCGGTACCAGCACTTACGTTCTCGGAAGGGGGAGCGGCGGCGGCAGCGGCGATGGCCGCCTTGCGAGCAGTGGCGACCTCCTGCCGCTGCACAGGAAGATGAACAACCTCATCAGCAATCCCACCAGCAGCAACAGCAGCAACAGCCGCAGCATCCAGACCGGCCCCTGGGGGGCCAGGAGGGGAAGGTTATGGAGCAACCGCAGGGTGACGGAAAACATGACATGGAGCTGCCGTACAACCTCGCGGCGGGCGGAAACAGGCACGGCAACTGCATCATCACCAGCAGTGACAGGGCCGGATGCGAAAGTAACGCATCCCGTGTACAAGTGCCGGAGGGCAGTGCAGCCGGTGAGGTCCGGTGAAGTTGTTCTCCCTTGCAGTCGCCTTTGCCTCCGCTCTCCAAAGAATCGGTGTGTAGTATAGGTCTCGAGTTCGATCCCCATCGGAAACCCACGCATGGGTTAGTGACTGCAGGTGGGAGCTTGCTGGTGGTGGCAGGCTCTGGACAACCGGTGGTAGATCTGGTGCCAAGCTCCGGTGGCGAGGTCGAGGAAAGTCTCTCAGGCCTGGATCTGGTTTCGGATCTGGACCTGGAGGACCTTGAAGAGAACTTGGATTTGGAACCGGAACCGGTGGATTTAGACAGCCAGACGTGGCGAATGGCCAGCTGGGAGGTCGCGACGGAGCTGTTGAGGGTGGGCTGGGACGGGAGCTCGTCTTGGGCTTGGCTGTATCGGGGGGGAACATGTGCATGTGCATGTGTGTATGTGTGTGTATGTGTGTCTGTGCATGCGTTTCATACTAAACTGAGTCATGTCTGTCTATGTGTGGTGTACGACACCTGACCGGAGGGCCTGACACTTAGCCAAGGGCAGCACTCCCGTACCTGACCGGGCCGGAGGGGCTTATGTTCCGGTGGCCTTACCGGGGAGGTAACTGCCGCTGTCGTAGGGGGACTGATGTTGTGTTAATGCTCGTATGGGTGTGTCTGTAAGGACCAAAACAACACAAGGCACCAAACGACGGGAACGGCCCGAGCCAGTGGTGGTTCGCCTGTTCTGGTTTTCGTATGTGTGTGTGCGTGTGTATGTGTGTATGCGTGTGTGTATGTGTCGATGTATCCCAGGCAGGCAGGGGAGGGCTGGGGAGGGCTGTCTCCTCGCAGCAGGGATGCGTTTCCTGGGGCCCAAGGAAACCCAACCCGCGATTGACGCACGCCCCTCCCATATGGCGAGGCCCTTGTCGCCTCTTTCCTCCCGCTCCACCGCCGCCTCCACCGCAGGACCGCGGCTTTCCGCTGCCCTCCCTGCTAGCGGTGCTGCCGCTGGGGCCACGTGCGCTCGCGGCATTGAGGTGCCGTACCGGCAGTGCCGACGACCTGGACTTTTACGTTCCGCAGCTGAGAGCTCAAGATGTGGCGCGACAGAACGCCAGCGCGGGCAGGTCGGTTCATGTGAGCTCCTCATGCTGTACTCCGTGTGCTGTGCACGGCTGTGCAGTGGTGCCGGTAGCGGTAGCCGTGAAGGCTTTCAGGGGGGGCGATTTGCCACTTGGAATATTTACCGAGAGCAGATAACTCCAAACCCACAATCGGCCTAAGAGAACAACAACAATCAGAAAAAGGAGGGCGCTGGTTGTACACACAGGTCGTAGGAAATACTGTAATGTAGCTATATATAGTACAGCATTATGCATATGGGTTTCAGGCATCATCTCCGTGCGTGAATGGGTCGGCTAATGGAAGTGAGAGCTGAGTTAGTCGGACTGTCCGAACCGGGAAAGGTTGGAAATCCTGATGTGCAGCACCTGCGGGCCACCACCACATGTTGTTGCCTCTTGGCGCCCAATCGGTTCCCTGATTGCCGAGCCGACGTCCCCTAGGTTGGCCGTACCATCCAGGTGTGCCGATGTGGTTTGTGTCCTTACCCCCCCCTCTGACCGCTCTCTCCCCTCCTGCCCCTCCTTTCACCCTCCCTCTGCCTCCTCCCTTCTCTGCCCCCACTCCTTCCCTCTGCTCGCCACCCAGACTGGCTGAGTGGCTCTTGGGTATGGAGGAGCACTGCCGGGCAGCGCACGAGCTGGACCGGGCACGGAGCTGGAAGTGGCCGGAGCGCATTACACAGCAGCGCCAGCAGCACCAGGAGGCAACCAGCGCCGGTAACAATCTTGAGAAGGCCCAGGTAGGCGGTTCCGGATCCAGGGGGGCCCGAGGCGGTAGTGGGAGGAGTAACTTTGGTGCGGGGGAGGGGGATGGTGGTGTGGATATGCAGGGTGGTGCAGCGGGAGTGGCAGCAGCGGTTGGTGGGGGAAGAGGTGGAGGTGGCGGCCGTGTCAGGAAGTGGCCTTCCGCCTCCGCAGCTGCACGGCAGATGTGTGAGTGCGTGGAGGGGATCCTGGTGGAGAGGAAGGCGGCAGCGATGGCGCATATGGAGGTGGAGGCAGCGGCACGTATGCAGGCTGCTGCAGCTGCAGTGGTGATGGCGGATGCTGCTGCGGGCGCCGTTGCCTTAGCTGCAGCTGCTGCTGCGCCATCGGCTGTGCAAGGGGTGGTAGCCCCCGGGGTTGTCGGCTTGGCGGGTGTAGCGGGTGTAGCAGTTACGGGGGTGCCGCCTGACAAGCGGGAGGGGGAGGGAGCGCGAGGGCAGCAGCTGCCTGGGGGCTTAGAGAACTGGGATACACTGGATTTTGAGGGAGAGGAAGGAGAGGAAGATGGGTTGGGTGCCTTCAGTTCGGATGACGACATTGACGAGTGGAATGTGGAGGCGGAGGAAAGTGGTGAGGGCGAGAAGGAAGGTCAAGTTGCTTAACTTCTATGAGGGCTGCCTTGGTGCCCGTTGACTAGGTCCTTTGCCCGGCGTGCGAATGTAGCTTTATATAAATATTGTCAATGTGGTTGACCGATATCGGAGCAGACAGGTCGTCCCTGTGTTGTCTGCGGGGAAGAACCCATCAGGCCATCCCTGGTTGTGTGTCTTCTCCTGTCGCTTCCATGACAGAGGCAGGGCTGAGGTTTATTTGCAACACATCTGCTGGCGCTCATAGCGGTTTCCGTAACAAATTACTTTGCCCGTCGGTTGGTTTGCAGGGCTGCTGCCTAAGTTGACCAGGAGTTGAATGTAGTCCAGAAGTTGAATGTTGAATCTCCATCCCATGCAATCTCTTTTTTCATAAGCTATGGCTGGTATATGGAGATGTGGTCAGCTTCATATCTGCCGCCATGTCATAAGGATGCAATTCCGCAGATGTCGAGGGAGAACACGACCCCATTCATCAAGACACTTTAAGGGAACACGGTCCCACAGCGTGCGGTGCTGGCTCAGATGAAGCCATCATAGAATGGAGGTGTTTATCAGGCGATCCAACGCAGATCTAGCTCATGAGGGGCCACTGGGCTGTCATCACACGTGCAGGCGGCCCTGCTTGCACCCTTGGTCTGACTGAGCGCTTGCTGCAGCAGGGCGGCTACCAGGGCGGCTACCAAAGACTTCCTTTTTTAAGCCAATACAGTGGAACAGGAGGGTGGTGGCCTGTGACAGGCACCAGCTCACAGCCTGTTTACACACTGTCGTATGAAGGCCAGCTTGATAAGCTGCTGTCCATGGTAGCCATCACCATGCACATTGCTCCACACTTTACGTGCATAGGAGGGAACAGCATGGCTGCTGGTGACCGCGGTGTGCCAGCAGAGCTACATCAGGCACAAGGGTGCTGGTACGCCAAGGCAATGGTAAAGCACTACACCCGGCATGAGACGGAGGCCAGGTTTGAGGTCACTCGCTGCTTGGGCCTCGCTGGTGCGAGTATCTATCCTCTCTGCTGCAGAGTAATGGCCATTGGCAACTGTTGGCATCCCACTCCGACACTAGCTCATAACACCTGAGATCCAGGTCGTAGGAGACAGGACCAGAGGATTACAGCCATAATAAAGGGTACATCGTAATGTCTCTGCCTAGATACGATACGGATAGTCAAAGCGTAGAAGAATCGGTGGGGCAGCAACAAGCCGCAGCGCATAACCTGCCTATGGAGTACATGACTAAAAGCGGATAGGATTCTAGATTGCAAATAGGATGCTGCCTGGCGTGCTGCCTGGCGTGCTGCCTCGCGTGTGCTGCCAGGCAGTAGCACTGACGCCTCGCACAAAACAAAGAGTCGACATTGAAAGTTGCCACACGCAATTCCCAGCTTGACAAGAAAGGAAGCCAGTTACCCACGCAGTCACTGAATGCTAATGGACACGCCGTCACCGCTGACTTCAACGCCATCTGTTAGGACGAGACAACGGTCTCGAGGTCTGTCGCGTTGGCTCTTCGTGAAGCTCTGCAGAATGAACTTGAGTTCCCTGACCTTTTCAACCGGGCTAACCTGTGGTTGGGCATTCCACCAACCTGGATTTGTGCGTGTGTATGGGAGGTTGTATGCCTTGCGGCCATCAGCTCACTCAATCTCGGTCGCCGTTTGTTGTTTAGGGAAGGTCTCCAGACCAACATGCCTATATCAACGCCATCGCTTAACCGCATTACTTACGAGGTTATCTCTGACTTTTGGGCCCGTTTAACTGCTTTTGCGGCACGGGACTACTTGCCAAAACATTGGGATCATGTACCTCACAATCACCCTTTCTTATATGTCAATGACGCAGACATGGTTGTTTGCCGTTTACCGATATACAATGACGAAGTTTGAGGGCGCACGTCGGAGCCTCAATTTTCTGTTTAAGCGTACTAACTGAGGCCGTGTGTCCAGTGAAGTTAGTACGGCCTGGCCGAGTTCTTTTTGAATAAGGCCCACAGTGTTGTGCGGGAGGCGCTCCTATGGGCGCTGCACTCGACCCGTTCGGGGTCCACTGTAACAATCGCATCTCGAGGTCTGCGCCGTCTGTGCGGTGACTTAACGAAAACCGAATTTCCTGAAATCGCTCGTGCGAAACATCACGGTGGTTACATATGCCGCCACTTCACTTAGCAACATCAGCTATATCACCCTCTTAAATCGTGCGTGAAGACGCAGGATAACTCAAAGGGCTCGCTGATTTACGATTTATTCAATTAGGATACCTGACTATAGTACCACGTGAATATGGGTGGCTCTCGCCGAAAATTGAAAAGGAACGCGCCGAAGGTTCGGAATGGGTTAGTGAAACGCAAAAGAGACCAGAAGACGAAGCTTCCTGTGGATATTGCGTTTAACGACCCGGCGCTGGAGCAGAGGCTGAAGAAAAAGTGGGTATTTGGCCGCCATCGTTGCACCATTGCCTGCCTCTGCGTGTTTTGTGACTGGCAAGCGCATAGGTGGTTCCAATAAGTACAGAATGGCTATCTGCTTAACTCGACACGCGACTGACCTAACGTCCTAGACCTGATGCCCAACCAGGGTTCATGCTCTACCACCATCCGTCCGCCGTCATGTTGAACTGTCCCACAACAGTGTGCCGCCATAGCCTTGAGTATGACTTCCTCAAAACGTCACAATATTATCCTGCTGTGTTGCTTTGTCGGCCACACAGACCGGAATGGGACGAGAAGGACACCTTGGACGAGAACTACAGCCGTAATCAGCTGGTGGCGGACCCAAACATCTTACTTGGCCGCAAAGAAAAGAAGACGCCTCTGGTGCCGCCAGAGGTTCGGAAGGAGGCTGGCGAGGAGACTTATTCGGACGATGACGGTAGGGTCGTAGCAGTTTACGGGGTGCAGGAGGCGACCTTGGCAGTGCCCTTCCCTGTAGCATACACGGAGGCTGGCTCTGCTGCAGAAATCCCCCTTAATGAAATATATTCCAGAAGTATGCTGCTTTGGCGGGGTAGATGTATATGCGGAGCAGGGTGGGATGGGATGGGTCCGTGCGGCCATCTGGCTGCGTGCATGGACGGCTGCAGCATGGCCCAGCAGCTCGAGGGACGATCCAGTACTCCAGCTCATCGTCCGGGGGTTATTCGGCGGGTTACGGGAGTCGGCGGGGGAAGAGCGTGGTTGGGCGTCTGCAGGTATGCCTTGCTTATCTTTTATGTTATTAAGGGAATTGTAAAGAAAGAGCCTTCATTGTTGGCTAGCAGCAGCATCTACGCCCTCAAGTGCTCCTACCGTTGGTACGGAAAGCACCAAGTCGTACGGCTGTAGACTGGGATGTAAATTCCCGCGGCCCGCGGCCCTTCACGTACCTAGGGAGCCCATCACTGCGGCCCTGAGCCCCCCTTGATCTGCGTGCTGCAACTGCCCGTGTGCTGTCTGCACTCCCCACAACCTCAATACACGCGGACAGAGCAACGCGCCGCGCTGCATCTACCACGCAAGAACCGCAAGAATCCGCCCCCGCGGCTGACCTCCACTCAGCGCAAGGTGGTTGGAGCACTCCTGGAGAAGCACGGAGATGACGTGCATGTGAGTTTTGGGTGCGCGGCGTGGCAGACACGCAAGGGTCCCTGGGCGGGGGGAAGCGGGGGCTCCCGGGGTTGGGTGTTGAGGCGGGACGAAGACGATTGATGAACTCGTGCAAGACTGTACGATTACATGAACAAGAACTACTACGTCTGGCCTCATATGTGGGTGACGGCGGGTGATGGCACGTGTGTGTTTTGTCTCCGAGAGGAAGCGGCTGTGGCGTCCCTTTGAAGGGGAGGAAGGGGGAAGAAGGGAGGGGAAGGGTGGAATTTATATGGGGCACGAATCAAGGGATCAACTTTTCAGATCCACATGCAAGAGGGGGAAAGGGTGGGAGGGAGAGACTGAGGGAGGCCAGGAAAGGAGACTCTAACTCGGGAGTAGCGACTGAGTTGCACACGGGGGAATGGAAAAGAGGCGTGGAAACCGGCTAGGGAGGTTTCGATGGGTTGAGAGGGTGGGGCGAGCTTCCGGCAAAGCAGATAACAGAAACATCAAACCACCACCAGCACCAGCAGGCTCGGGAGCGCGGAGGGAGGGAGCATCATGAGCATCACACCCTCGGCACCCCCCCAACCACTACCAGTTACTAGGGAGCCTTCAAGTACAATATATGTTTTCTTGCCACTCCACCTTAAGTCTGCTCTGCTAAAGCAGACAGCGATTTCAGCAGCGACTATCAGACAGAGCGAAGCGGAGCACTTTATGGCGGCTCGTTTGGGGGCGGCTTTTGCAGGCGAAAGCTCCCGAGCGCCTGAAGCACCTATGGCGGTGTTAGCTGCTGCAGACTGTTGGCCACGCCCGCTATACCGTTATCCATAAAATTAAAGCAACTCAACCTCTGCACTGCGAATCCACCGGAGACTTTCAGCTGACAATCGTGAGCTGATCTGTTGACTTCTCAGCAATCCAAACCGCGAGTTGCCCGACCCGATCTCCTCGGCTTCCTGTCCTCCTCCTGTAGCTTCCCTCCCGGTTGCTGCACTGCCACCACCACACACCACCGCCACAGAACACCTTCCAAACTCGTCGCGCCCCGGCAGCCAGCTCCCTACGCCTCCATCCACCCGTTCTCCCTGCTTTAGGTCATATGCCTCTGCTAGATGTTGACCCTCTTTCCCAAGCCCTTCCTATGTTTCCTATTTCCCGTTTGTTCCCTAAAAGTCCCTTCTGCCTGCCTGCCAGTCGACTCGTTCACCAGCATGCGTGCATGGCTCCTCGTCTCACATGTTCTCCTTCTGCCCCTTCTTCTTCAAATTCTTGGTGTTCTGATTTGGACTTTGCAACCCTTGTCTTTTTAGGCAATGATGATGGATACTAAACTGAACAAGATGCAGCACAGTGAGGGAGAGCTCAGAAAGTTCATCGAGGCATATCGGTTCTGGGGACCTGATTGCAGCGCGGCGCAGAAACATGATTTTTGGACGGAGAAAAAGCCACCCAAGAAGCTGCTGAATTGCAGGTGTGGAACGGTGTGGGTGGGTAGGGTAGGGTAGGGTAGGTGGGTGGGCAACGCCGAGCTGGCTGGCGGGCGATGTTCCGTCCATCTTCTGATACCCTCCCTGCTCTCGGTAAGTAATGTAACTTCTACCAGTGCCCATAACTCATTTTGCTTTTACGGTTTGTTTGTTGTTACAGTGGGGTGTTGTTTAGGCGCGTCAGCTTATTTCCTAACCCGAATTTGCTATCTTTTTGTTCGCATTCTCTCAGTACCATCACCATCCCATGCGCCGTGTTTGACAAAATTGAACCAGCCTCTGTTCCCAGCAGGGCCCTACATAGATCTCTGGAAGGGCCTGTTCTCCGTCACCTTCAGCGTTGTGCCCTAAGTTGCCGTCCTCATGTTGCAGTCTTCCGGTCCGTTGCTCTTTTGTCCTACTTCTGAAGCCCTGCTCCCATTCCCGCGCCTTGTGTTCTCGCCGGTTTAGGATACTGGTATGAAAAGCCCGCCCCGCGGCGCCCAGACAAGCGCCCAGACAAGCGCCTGGTTAGCGCCGCGTGGTGCAATTGTGCGCTGCGCAGCGGTTCCCCGACGCCATCACTTTTAGCTGCGGGCAGCAGGCGGCGTCTGCAGCTGCCCTGTGGTTGGGGCCATGGTTGTGGTTGTGGGTGGGGCTGCAGCCGCTCCCCAAGAGAGACCACGTCTAGCATGTAGAACTAGCAGAGTGCAACAACGAACAGCAGCAGCAAAAGTGATGCAAGCAGGGCTATACGAAGAGCCCAGGTGATGGACGCACGCAGCCAGGTGACTTGAATCTGTATGCCGGTGGGGATGTGATGTGATGGGGGCGTCCGTGTATCGGCATCGCACAGCACGGCCGAGAACAACAAGTTGCTGATGGCAACATGGCCGTTTGGTTCATACGTCAAAAGCCTTAGCAGCAAGCCGTATGTCCTCGGCTTGATGTTATTCCTCCGTTTTGGTGTTGCTGGGGAATTACCGGCTTCCTGTATCCCGGTGTCTCAGCCAGGTGCTGACCAGCCAGCGCGTCCCGTGCTACCACACGTCGATGGCGATTGTTCACCTCCTCACGCCCTGGTGGGAAGTCTGCGGTGTTTTTCGCTCTGTGCTGGCGCAAGATGCCAGGCAACTCCATATGCCTTTGATATGAGTATGTCGTATACACGTGTACTGCCAAAATAAGCAAGCCGTCGGAAGAAAAAATGGTCTTAGGCGCCGCATGTGCGGCAAAGCACCAATCGCACAGCCGTAGGGTGCGGTGCCTGTTTAATGGTGGTGGCGGCGTCGGCAGCGGCGAAGGACAGCGAAGGACGGTTGAAGGCGCTGCGTGGGTGCGTGGATTGTTGGGCACAGGGGCTTGACAGTGATTGCCCGTTTATGTGCGAACCGGGTGCTCCGCCACAGCTAGATCCGGAACGAAAGATGTCTTTGCCATGTTGTGCAAAGCCCAATGCATTCCGCCCTGGTTGTGGCGCTGCCTGGTGTGTGCTCTTTGGCAGCGACAACTCACAACTCTCCCTTGGAACTGAATTGGCTGACTGGTCTGGTCCGGGCCGTCACAATAGGAGCGGCTGCTTTGCGCGCACCGAAGGGGGACGATGGGACGTGGTCGATGACGGTGCCGGATTGTGTGCTAGCTGTGCGTAAGACAAAGAGCAGAAGACGAAGAGGCACGAGTCATGGACGCGAAGGCTTGCCCGGCACGTGTGTGCGTACACCACCAGGAGGTCTAGTCTGCAAACGCGGGGCAGATAATTGGGAATGCAAAACATAAGTAGGGCACTTTCCGCTGGTTTGGGAGTGGTAGTGAGGCATGCAAGTTGCGCATGCGCAGTACAAATTGTAAAGTAGGCCCGCTTGGAACGGTGGGCAGCGAGTCGTCGCGAAAATCTGCGACTATGGACCTACATTGTCAGCGGTTTCAGAGGTGACGCAGCAGTTGCGTTTGGGTAGAGCCGATGTTCAGCTATCTCAAGGACACCACAATAGATTTCACTGAAGGACTGTGATCGGACTGGCAGGCAGGAAAACTAGTATGGTATTTAATGCTGGGGAGGATGCGCTTCGTTCCCGTTGCGGCACGGAGATCCTAACCATACATCAGGGTAATAAATCAATTATCCTTAGATTGGCGCCGAGAAGCGTTCGCAACATGTAAGCGGTCGCCTGGAACTAGGACGATATGTAAACTGATAGTATACTGATGTATATACTTGTATATTGCACAATAACACATAACGTTTGCAGTGTTAAAGTTCAGCAGATAGTGCTCATTTACGGATGTTCGTCTGAAGTTCTGTCGGAGCCTAATCAGGCGCGCGGAGATGTGTGGTTGCGCGCCAGCCTTTCGTCCTGTCACTTTGGCTGGATGATCTAGGGCTCAACGCTCACTCGTTTGATAGGGCCAGTTTTTTTAAACATTAAGGCAAGCATAACTGTGTTCGGTTGGTAGTCCGGGCCGGACCTGAGCTAACGCTTCGCACGCGAGCATTTTCACGGGAAGCCGACGACCAGCACATGAGATATGTCGCATTAAATGCATAATATATTGCGCTACCTCGGCGTTGCAACCGCTCAAGAAACCGTCTTGCAGGTAACTGTACGGTGGGACGGTTCCCCCATCGTTCCAGCAGTTGTTAATTATTACTATGGGCGTTCATATAGACGGACACGAACATGAGAAATCTACTGCCTTAAAACTCACGACAATGAGCGCGCTCTTTTAATTCGCAGCCGGTCGACAACTGGCGCATACAGTCCGTGCCACACGGAGTACAATGGCAGCAGTTTATGCGCAATAACTGACTACGACAACTCTTTGTTATATGTGCAATCGGTCAGTATATTGCCTCATCGGACAGGCATTTGAAGATTAAAAGGGGAAAAACATGGCGACGAAAAAACTTGATCGACTCAGTTTTCAGCCAGAGCACGTTAAGCTGCTCACATGGGATGGGGACATGGGCGACCTCGAACTGGTGAGATGGCTGGTCGCGGCTAGAGGCATTGAACCATGCATAGAACTCCGTTCCATGCGTTCAGTGCTAGATAGCTACCGAATACTTTAAACTATTGGAATAAAGTCCTGCCTGCGCCGCTAATCCTCAGGCAGCCGGAAAAGCTATCTGCACCCACAACTCAACATGAAAGTCATTTTACCATCTCGTTGCGCGTTCGCACTGATTTGAACTTATTAATTCCTGCATTGCAGACATACAGTACCGACAGCGAGCAACTTGACGCGCCGCCTCGCCGAGTCATTGGCATGGTTCCAGCTCACATGCACTCCTCTGGCATCTCCACTACTCGCAAACGATATTATGTACTGGAGCCTCTAGGCGTGTGGGTCAAGCGTGTAAGGCGCAGCGGCGGAGGCGGCAGCGGCGACATTGGCACATGTTACAGCGGGCCCCCTCCCTACGACGATGACCCTCAGCAGCCCCCCCCAGCAGCCCCGCCTGCTGCTGCTACGGCTGCTTCTGCTGCTGTTACTGCTGCTACTGCTGCTGCTGCTGCCCGGTTCCCCGTCAGGCAGCACCGTTCCAGGGCAGAGCTCTATCCTGGTGAATTACACGACCCATATGCGGATCTTAGGTACTCCGATGCCGTTGACAGTGCTCATCCTGAAGCGACTTGGCAAGAGGTGGGGCCTTCAACTTCTCATGCTGAGAACTGCAGGCCTAGAGTGCAAAGCTTGGTGGGGCATAGCAAGGGCAGCAGCCGGCTTGCACGTTTTACTGAGGCTTCTCCTGCAGCCGTTCCGCCTCTGCCACTGCCACTGCCACCACCGCCGCTACCGCCACCGGCACCTCTGCCGCCGACTGCCTCTTATCGCCGTACGGCATCACGAGATCTGCCTTTGGAGGCCGTATTCAGCCAACTTGACAACTCTGGATCCCCTTCGTTGGGTCCTTGGGGGTTGATGCCGCGAAAGGCATGGCAAAGTTTCGCAGCTCCACGGCCAAGACCTCCACAGCCACCGCCGCCACCACCGCGGCCACCACCTTCATCGGAATGATTAGAGTAGCTACCTGGTTTCTGGTATCTAGTATTTTGTAGCTAACAGCAGTTAGGTATCCGCAGATGTGGAACTTAGGCGCTATTTATGGACTGTTGTTCCGGAGCGCACGTGTGGAATGAGAGGCTAGCATTGCAGGGCAGAGCGAGCTGAGTTGTGCCTTATTGCTAGGTAGGTTCAGCAACCTAAGGTGCGCGTACATGGTGGGCCTTATGCGGCGCTGCGCGGAGATTCCCAAAGGGCCTCATTCCAACAAATCGTAGATGATGAATGTATGAGGTGGGGTTAAACGGCTGCTGCAGTGTGTGTTTATGGCTCTATAGGCTCAGCTTGCAAATCTGTGCCAAGTGCCTATTTTGGTCATTTAAGTTTGGTCGTGTGCATTATTAATAGTGCTGTGTGACGATGGAGGTTAAAGTGATGTTGCTGCTTGTGCGTTGCGTGGTGCTGACGAGGAGTCATGAAGCAGGAGGCAAGCACCTTGCCTACATTTCTGAAACCTTCGCCGAGAATTCATCTGCTGGATCTCCCATCCTACATACGTCCGCAATGGACTATCAATAACAAGGAGTAAATGCAGGTTTTTGGATTTTTATTACTTAGCTGATAAGAGTGAACCAGTACTGTTTTATTTATATCCCCATTTCTATCATTTACAGGTAGGTGTATTTCCGCTGCCGTCACATTATGCATAACGTTGTACTGCTTAAGGGATGCACGCTGGCTACGACTGCGTCGAGACCAGACCAGTTTGTCGTTTCTGATAGGTTTAGGGACAGGCGTTAGCTTTAAGTACCTATCGTCTCCAGATCATATATATATATATATATATATATATATATATATATATATATATATATATATAATAGATAGGGACGGTCCTCATCTAATGTACCACAGCGCGATTTATCGATGACAAAATTAAGCATACGAGGTGAATCTCGAATGGCTGTTGGTTCGTGGCGTGCCTGTTTACCCGTATTCACCTATCGAGCACGTGGAGAAGTGCTCATCCC